CCAGCTCCTTTGAGCCTCCGTGTGGGTCCACGGGAACCAATTCCATCGTGGGACATTGTTCGGGCCGCGGTGTGAAAACAGCATTGTTTCTGGGGCTTGAAAGAAATCTCGAATAAAAATTTGTGGAGTTCTTTATTATTCAATACTTAAGAGATGGGGAAACAGGCAGTAACTTTTTTATAGATTTACTAGGTTGGAGACTGCAGCGCCAAACACAAGGTTTATTGTCAAATAAAAGCCTGCTTTGTTTCTGACGTCCTGTTTTAGAAGAGGCCTGCCTCCGCGCTGTAATTGCACGCACAAAATTATTTAATTTGTTTTGTTTGGATCTTATTCTGGACACTTTCCCAGCCAGAAAGGATGTAAAAATTAAAACATCTATTATGCCTTTTATATTCTGAGGTAGGTTATAAAGAGGAAGAAAGAAGAAACATATTCAAGAGTGGGAAGGATCCATTTTTTTTTTTAAGTCTCTGGTTGTGAGCCCCATCAGAGCTACAGTCCCATGTCCTCTGTGCCACCTTGCTCTGGAGAAAGTCCCTCTACTGCCTGCAGCCCTGACCTTGTCTTTAGGAGATGCGACAAAAGCCGCAGTGACCCCTCGTAACAGCAGCCTGTAACTCCAGAGCAAAGCTACACTCTTAGCCTCTGCCAAAACAATAACGGATTGGTGCTTTGGGAGCAGCCTGAATGGTCCAGGCATCCCAGAGTCACTAGGACACGAGGCAAGGTCCACCAGTGGGTGCTTGAAATCACATGACACTGAGCCATCTATCTACATATGTACACACATGTGTCTGTTAGTGTGTTATGCATTAGGTTTTTCCCTATTAATTTAGAAGCACACTGGGAGATTAACAGGAATCCTTTAAAAGGGGGACAAGACAGCATACTCTGTGATAGAAGGTATTCAGAATACATGAACTGTTTATTTTAGGACTTTTTTACTGAGCAGTTTCGGACCAGTGAACTGTGGGTTACTGGCACCCCAGGAAGCAGAGCTAAGGCCCAGGGCAGCCGATGTGCTTACAGAAGTGGCTGGTTGGGAAAGGGCAGGAGGAGGGCACCCTCTCAGCTGGGCTCTTCAGAAAGAAGTGCCCCAGGGCCCTCCTCCAGCGCTTCTCTCTCAGAACTCACACAGCGCAGGGGACAAGCATCTGGTCTCCTCTACGTGGTCCTGAGTCCACACCATGAGTGCTGTGGTGTAGCCTGAGTTGAGAGCAGGTGGCGGCATCTGGCAAGCGCCAGGAAGCAGATAAATGCTTTGCGTTAGTCCCCAGCCTCTGTCGCAACCTGCTGCCCCCAGTAACAATGTCCTCAAAGAAAAAGGATGTTTGAGCCATTACATGAGGAGGCAGAGCCCATGACGGACACCAACAGATGAGTCAATCTCTCCACTGGCCCCTTCTCCTCTTTGCCCCGGGCCTGGAGTCAAGCTCACTATGAACTGGAAATATACAGGATGGGGACACTAAGCCAGAAAGAGTGGCGACAGGTGATAGAGTAGTCAGTAACCTGTGTTCAGATCTGAAGCCCGCTCAAGGAGTAAGAAACCCTAGGTCCCACTTTTGAGAAGTCACAGCCTCGGGGACTTAGGAGAATGTCCAAAATGAAGATGGAGGGAGGGAGGGGCCCAGCAACCTGCCTTTGTCATTTCACCCTGGCCCTGGCTGCAGGGTCATCACAGCCTCTCTGGCCTGGCCACTCACATCTTGTACTCCTCATCCCTCATCTTCAAGCAGAATGTTTCCAGGACCCGTCTCAGCTCCTGGGACTGCATCATGCCTGTGTTGTTGACATCGATGAGCTGGAAGGTTTTCTTTATGGTTCTCATGTTTCGGAAGATCTGTGTAATAAAGAGGGATTTTGGAAAAGTCAAGAGGCCCGATGGTAAAAACTCAAATGCTAACAAAATACGTGGACGCTTTTTTTTCTTTATTTTTTTACTACTTCTTGTAAAATAAAATGTTTTCAAAGATTCTCAGCAGTACACATTGCACAATGACATCTTTGGAAAAAAAAGGAACATTTTGCATATATTGAGAGTTTGCAAGGCAATTGTCTCAGTAAATGGTCTTAGTAAGTTTTAAAAAAATCTCTTTTTAATGTAAAGCAGTAAGTCTCATACACAATTCATCCCCTTTTAGGGCCGCATGAAAAATCTTTTTTGTTAATTGATGCTGAAAACCTAGTCCTGGCATAGTGGACGCGTGTGATTTTTTTGCTTTTCATGGCCATATGCGAACTATTTTTACTGCTAGCTGGAGAATCTGACGGTCTATTTCAACCTCTCAATTTTTTTTTTTAAGATACCACAGAAAAGTTTTGCAACGATCTCTGAATTCAGCAAATGAGAGTCACCATGGGAGGTGTTTGGTGGGGCCCCTGGAAAAGACGCAAGGGCAGGGAGCAGGTCTTCATGCTGACTGGACTTCTGTGGGGTTCATCTGAGAACTCAGAGTCCCACCAAGTCTGCATTTTCAGATATAGAAACTGAGGTCCCAGGAGGTCTGACTCAACAGCACACAGCTAGACAACAGGACGCCATCTTCCAGCTCCAGCCTGTCCTTTCAGGACGGTCCCCTGAAGGAAGTCTAGACATGCAAACACAGTGTCATCCGAAGGAAAAAAAAACAGCAACTGAGAGTGAGGGCCAGATACCGGGAGGGCAGCGGCATGGGCCTTCAGAGGAACATAAACACGTCTGGCTAGTGCGGTCTGGGAGGCTTCCTGCAGGAGGTGGCGCTGAGCAGGCAGGGGTGACTCCGGAGTGGGGACAGGAGGGACTGGCACTCCAGTAGAGAGAGACTGTGTGAAGGCTGGATCCTAAGGGAGCTCATTCTCCACAGAGGGATGGACCCAGCCGTGTCCCGCCTGGATCCTAAGGAAGTTGGCAAGCCTCAAAGAGGGGGGCGAACCACTAGACAGCAAGTGGGCTCCCCTTGCCTCAGCGTTTTCCCCACATGTTCCTAGGCTGTCCTAGGCTGATGGAGCCTGGCCTACCCGTAAGGCAGCCCCTCTTGCAGCCTCTCCAGGGCAGCCGTCTTCCATCTTTGGCCCGAGGAGTCAGGCCGGGTGGAGTGAGTAGTGTCCTGGAGCTGCTTCCAATCCTTGAATCTGCCACACCCTGGCCACTTGTCCCTCCACCGACTGCCCCCCCCCCCCCCCCACTGCATCAGTGGGAGACTCTCCCGCCACGGTCGTGTGAGTCCTGTGTGTCTGTCCAAGACCATCCTTCTGACACTCGAGCTCACTTCCAGAAGCCATGGTTTCTACTCAAGCTCTGTGCTGTCTTAGTACCGACAGCCACTGACCCTGCAAGATCAAGGCGCTTGTCCCCCTCTGCCTTCTAGATCACTGCCCCTTCCACCACCCAAAGCCCACCAGCCTCCATCCGAGTGGGCCCCTCGCTTGCAGTTCCAACCCTCTCCTCTGTGTCCTCCCCTACTTATTCTTCCTCATCAGCACCCCTCAAATGCATGATCCCCCTTCTCCCTACCTCTTCAAGTCTGAATGGGCCCAGCCCATGGCCTGTCCCATAGTGTGTGTGTGTGTGTGTGTGTGTGTGTGTGTGTGTGCTTAAGTGCAGGTGTCCACAGAAGCAAGAGGTATCAGATCCCCTGGTACAGGCAGCTGTGAGCCACCTGCTGTGGGTACTAGGAACCAAACTCCAGTCCTCTGCAAGAGCAGTACATACTCTTAATGGCTGAGCCATCTCGTCGGCCCCTTTTCCAGACTCTCACGTGCCAGTAAGCGGTTCCTATTCCCTTAACTCGGACCCCTCATCCCACCAGGACTGGGTGCTGCATTCTGATCCTTCTCTGCCACCATAGTGCACACACACATGTGCACACATGTGTATACACATACACGGGGGGGGGCACATGTGCATACACACATACATATGCACACAGGCCTACAACGTTCATACACCTTTCAACTTTTAAAATTTGGGATGGAACCCAGCACTTGGCATACACTAGGCAAGTGTCGCCATGGAGCCACTCCCCAGCCTCATTCCTACCTTCTTCACACTTTCCCAGTCTTGAACCCTGCCCCACCTTGTCAGGCTGGCTGTCTGCCTTACGGAGAACATAGCTGAGCCCAGAAAAGAACATCCAGCTGCCTATCTGTCACACGCCAGTGACCCTCAGATTTCCCAAACTGGAGCCGCTCTTCCCACACATACACACCCTGCCCCATGGATGGCAAGTCCACTGCCTTTTCTCTACACTCATGCACACCCAGCCCTGCTGGACGGCCCCTCAGCCCTTCTCTGCACTTCTAGCAGAATCCTTGGAAGCTCACAGGAGGACCCTTGTCCCTGGGGTCCCCCAGAACACATTAGCAACACTGCAGGAGAGCTTTCTCCCTGCTAGTCCTGGGGTCTAGGGTGCCACTGGGTGGAATGTTCACGCTCAGGAAACATTTGCAGGAATGAGTGACTGGATCCTTCCTGCCTGCTTAGGAAAAAAGGCCATATGCTGGGGGAAGCCTTGTGGTCTAGCTGCAAGGGCCTCCTCTGACCAACCAGGGCTCTGATGGCTCTGGCCCAGTTAATGACCATGACATTTGTTTGGTATCCATACAAGGATGACCATCACAGGATCCCCGGCTGACAGCTGCAAGGCCACATACTGAATTCACCACAACCCACTGTCTTCCAATAGCCAGAGCACAAGGGTGACCCGGATCATATCCCAGATTGGGACTGGAAAGCACAGACTACCCTGCACATCTATCTATCTTCCGATCCATCCCTGAATCTAAAGATGGGGCTCCAGATACCCACAGCAGTTGCTCCCAGAGTCAAGAAGAACTGCAATGTCCTCTCTGCTGCTAAGTCCCTGTCCACCTCTTCTGGGAACGCGGAGGAGGACAGGAATGACACCCTGCTTTACAGCCCCATGGCAACCCATATGGGTCCCCTGCGTGGAGAGCCGCAAGCCGCAAGCCTGGCACGGAGCTCACACCCACCAGAGGTACTTCTCCAAGTTTCCTATCACTTGTCAGACGCAAGTTTGGCACCAGCCACAGAAAGGAGCTACAGATGGTAAGACTTAGCAGAGGCAACAGCGCGAGGGTCCTGGTGAGCAGGACTGGTCGGCATGGGGGTGGGAGAAGATAAAAGGACCGAGAAAGCAACAACGGGCCAGCAACCTGACCAAGCTCTGTTCACCCTCCCCTGCCCCATCATCACCCCTCTCCTGCCAGCGTGAGCGACTTGGAATTCCCACAGGTCAGGAGCTCTTCTCCGTGCTGGAAGACTGCAAGGCCCAGAATGACCCCAGCCTCTCTCTCTCCTCCTTCCTCTGCTCCACCTTTACCCTTGCTCGCAGTAGCAAGTAAGTACACACTTTTGCCGCTCTGGTCTCTTCCGCTGGCCAGCTCCCTCCCTGCCCTCACTTATGACTTGGTCACACAGCACCTGCTCAGAGAGATGCCTGAGCACACCTTCAGCCTTCAACCTGCTTCATTTCTCTCTGCACGTACTGACACCTGTGTCCCCCGGTGTACTGCCTCTAATCTGCTGTGGTATCTTTGGGGCTTAGTACTGCCTCAGTTTACCATGCTGTAACTATCACCCTGCCCTTGTCCATTGCTGTCCAATGAGGCAGGATTTGCTTTTCTGTTGCTGTGGGAAAATACTCTGACCAAAAGCTCCTTAAGGAGGAAAATGTTTACTTCAGTTTCTATTTTCCAGGTCCCAGTCCATCTTTGAGGGAAGTCAGGGTAGGAACTGAAGCAGGAACATAGAAGAAATCTGCTCATTGGCTTGCTCTTTGGCTTATGCTCAGCTGCCTAAGGACGGTGCTGCCCACAGAGGGCTGGGTCTCCCCACATCAATGATCAACTAAGACAATCCCTCACAGACACAGCCAGTCTGATTCAGGAAATTCTTCAGTTGAGGTGCCCTCTTCCCAAGTGGCTCTAGGTTGTGTTGGTTGACAATAAAAACTAACAAGGGGAGTCTGGTACCTTCATTCCAGCTTTCCAGATCACTCCTCTGCCTTGTCACTGTCCCCTGATGCTGACCTGGATATCTGTGCTACTCTGGCCAGAACTGGATGAGCAGCCTCCCTTGGGGGAAGGAGAGCCACGCCCACTCCCTGTCTGACTCTGTTCTAGCCCTTCCCAGGGCCCTGATGTCACTCTGGGGAGGAGTGGGTACTAATTACGAAAGGAGAGGCTGCCCTGTTCAAAACCGCACTTCTCAGAAAGGAAGGTATGGGCCTCACGTCTTCCCCAACAGGTCAGCCTTCCTGATGGGTACCTCTGTGCTGGCCTCCTCCCAATGGAAACCTCACTTTTACACAGGTGTGCAAACCACTGTCCGCCACACAATTTTGCACACTTGCAAGCTAAAATCGGCTTTAGCAGTTTTAAACAGTTAGGGGGAAATCAAGAGGAGAATCTTCTGCATGTCATGTGAAGTAATGTGAATTTTCAATTTCAGTGTCCACAAATAGATGCAAAGGATTCTGCCATACCAGCTCAGTTACATATTGTTGGGGCTGGTTTTCCCTACCAGGACGCGCAGGCAGCAGGCTGGAAAGATCCTGGTGACACAAAGACCAGATATACTCCACCCTCCCTGGCCCTTCGCAGAGTAAGATCACCAGGCATTCTGCTCTCCTATCCACACATCCCTTGCAGACAGCTGTATAGTGAAGGCATTTCAGGGGAGATGTAGGTACAGAGTCCGCGTGTAGAGGATTTAAGCAGACCGCTGAAAGCCAAGTGTGGTGGTACTCCAGTGGCTGAGGCAGGAGGAACAGGTGGAAGCCACAGATTTGAGACCAGCCTAGGCTATGTACTGTCAAAAAAGAAAAAGTAGCATTTTTCCCCTTTGTGGGGGTTCACATCTGTAATCACAGCACTTGGGAGGTACAGCCAGGAAGATCAGGAGGTCAAGGGCTACAAAGACCCAAACGTTGCCGAAGACAGAAATATGCCTGAGAGGTTTTTGCCAAGAGGCTGCTCCTATGCATTTCTTTCCTGATCACGGTTTCATCCCCTGGCAACAGACCTCATCCTGGCTCCACCTCAGCTCTCCGAGCCCTGTGTGAGGTGGCATGCAGTCAGGAGGCCCGACTGCATGCCACCTCACCGTACCCCAGCCCACTCCTCACTCTTCCCCACATCCCCCTTTGACCAAACCTAATCTTTTCTATAACTCAGCCTCTCCCATCGCCTACCTAGCCCTTGAGGGCAACCCATGCTGGGCCCTGAGAGCCAGGCAGGATCCGACTCACTCAAGGTCCTTGGAACACAGATCCGGAAGAAAGAAACAAAGCACACGAAATTCAACCAAAGTCCCTGAGCTCTTCCCGCGTTCTGAAATGTGGCGCTGTAAACCAGGGTCAAAGTAGTAGATGATGGCTAGGCAGCTAGCTGTTGGACAGATGATGGATGGGTGGAGGATGGAGGATGATGGCTGGATATATGGGTAGGTGGATGGCTAGATGGATTTGGTAGATGGGCTGATGGCTAATGGCTGACTGACTGACTGACTGACTGACTGACTGACTGACTGTATGTATGTATGTATGTATGTAGAGTTAGGTAGGTGAACAGATGGATTTGTGGGTCGTGGTAGTTGACTGGCTGGCTGATTGGCTTATGAATGGATGATTGGGTGGGTGGATGGGTGGATGGACTGATAGCAGCTGGCTGACTAGATGGATGGGTGATGAATGGAGAATGGGTGGATACATGGGCAGGTGGATGTATGATGGACAGTGGCTGGTTGGCTGGCTGATGGATAGGTGGATGTTTGAGTGAGTGGATGGATGATGGGCAGGTGATTGAAACATGCATAAAGAATAATCTGGGTGATCTAATGGAATTTTGAATAAATGGGTAGATCCCCACAAGCATGGCAGACAGGCACCTCATTCCCCTTAGACTTGGGGACCTGCTCAGCATCCTTTTGGTAAAGGAACTGAGGGTAAGTCCAGTGAAGGGGCCGAATAACGGCAGTCGCCTCCCTGATGGCGGCATGTGCACACACAGGACACCAGAAGTCTCCATGGGTTGAGTGGACACCAGGAAAGGCAGCAATCTGTGCTCTCCTGTTCCCAAGGGCTGCTGGTCAGATGAGAGGCCCGAGCAGTGAGAGCATATAGGGCAGCTGCCAGACATGGGGGCTGAGAGGCCAGAGAGGACAGAGCTAGGCACCCACACAGTTTTGAAGCTCCACGAGCGTGGACCAAAGACTTCACTGCCCAGAGAAGGCACTATCCCCGCCTCCATCACAGACTCCATGACCTGAGAACACGGGAAACACCAGTGAGAGACAGGACAGGTAGAAGCCCAGTCCAGGAGGGCATCCTGAACTGCTATATTACAGAGACCTCTAACCCTCAGACCTGCACTGGCCTGGTTTACATCTACATGTGACCGGAAAACCAGGAGACCCGCCACAGGCATCCCTCAGTGACAAAAGGGGAGATCTGTGTGGGCCTGCAGAGCAGTGTGAGGAGGAAATCCAACGGCTTCCTATTTGTCCCCCACTGAGCTCAGACAGCTCCGGAAACTGCCTGCAGTGGATGCGTTATTACTTGTTATTACTCTGCGGGGCTTTGTTCCAAATGCTTTGTACACAGTATGAGCTCTGGGAAGGAAAGCCGCAAGCCCAAATAAATACGGCCACCTAGATTGTGCGTGTGTGTGTGTGTGTGTGTGTGTGTGTGTGTGTGTGTGTGTGTGCAGGTACATGTACATGCACAGGTATAGGGAGGCCAGAGGACAAGAATCACCTCAGGTGTCATTCCTCAGGAGCCATTTGCCTTGGGTTTTGAAAAAGGATCTCCCTGGCCTGGGGCTGGCCAGTCAACGGGCCTGAAGGAGCTGCCTGTCTCTGCCGGGCCAGGACTGGGTTTACCAGCACATGCCATCACGCCTGGCTATAAGCACCCAGACTTCAAAGGGGCAGAGAGCAGAAACTTTCCTCTCTGGATCCTAGGCTTACTCTACCAGCCTGGCTATGGGGAGGCTGTCGCCGGGGCAAAACTGCAGGCTTCCCCGCTCTGTGACCTACTGGCCAACAGGTCTCTCTCTCTCTTGGAGCCATCTCTTCCTGCCGAGTTCTGACAGAAGGGGGTCAAGAGCTGCATACAAAGAAGCGTGTCACGCACACACACACACACACACACACACACACACACACACACACACACACACATACACACACACACACACACACACACTGGCCAGGGGGAGACAGAGAGAGAGAGAGAGAGAGAGAGAGAGAGAGAGAGAGAGAGAGAGAGAGAGGAGGCAGCCTGCAGACTGAGCCCCGGGCTGGAGCAGCTCCTGTCCTTATCTTGGCTCCCTGCGGTGTGCAAGAGAGTGCTCAGCAGTCACTGCTGTCCGTCTGCCACCTTTCTGTCACCGCCACCAAACTCGTTTCAAATTGAACAAGTGAACATTTTGAAATGAGACCGCAAAGAAAAGGATCCCTCTTACAATAAACACATCAATGCTCATTTTCCTTATTATTCTACTTTTGGCTATTTTGTATAAAATCTTTAATTAAAGTTTTTCTTTGAAATTGTCATTATCAACCCAGAAGAAAGGAAGGGGGAGAAAAGAACAACACAGCTGTGCAGATATGAAGCAGCACTACTCGGGGCTAAATGAACTGGAACGGAGTAGGCGCTTGACGGTTATGTTCTGAGTTTTGGCTCCACGTTCTCAGCAACGCAGTCTGACTTGTCACTTTATATCGATTCCATCTGTTTACACTCTGAGGAGTATTGGCTTCCTACCGTGAACATTTCCTATTTACCAGCTGGTAGAGATGAGCCAAACCAGATAAGAAAAAATTAGACTGCATTCAGAGCCTCATAAACACAGACTCTCAACTCGGGGACGTGTGGGGGAGTGGCGGCCAGGCATTGCTCACCTCTAACAAAGCCCTTGCCTCCCTGCCTGTCTGCCTGAGAGCCCCTGGGCTCTCTTCACTAGAGCGCTCATCCCCAGCCCACCCTCCCCACCCCACACACACCCGTGGGCACAAGACGTTGCATTTATTTATTGAGCATATGCATACCCTGACTCTACCCAAACTGAACAAGCTTACATAAAAAGACATCTGAATGGGATCCACGGAAATGGAGAAAAGAGGGCAGACAAAAAGAGAAACACAAATGCAAGAGACCCAGAAGATGCAGTTCCTGTGATGGAACAAAAACCTGGTTCTGGTGTCCCCACGGGGAAGTAAAAAGGGAGGCTTGCTGCTGTGTGCTCTGAGGCCACACTCAAAGCCTACAGTTCGTGTTCATTGTTAAGATGCTCACCCAACACTATAGCTTAGGAGACCCATGACAAGAAGCCCATGCCTGTCTACCAAGGACTGAGGGGTGCCAGGTCTCCTCTTCCCTGTCTCTCTTTTCTTTCTCTTTCTTCCTTCTCTTCTTTTAAAAGGTTTTTGTTGTTGTTATTGTTATTGTTGCTAAAATATAGTCTCATTATGTAACCTTTGGCAGGCTTGGAAGTTACAACATAGAGCTGACCTTGCACTTAGAGCAATTCCCCCTGCCTCTGCCTCCCCAGCCTTGGGATTAAAGGCATGCACCACCAGGCCTGGCTCTCTTTCTCACGCAGCCTACATTCAGGGCAGTATCTCTACTCAGGCAGAGACCCCAGCTCATTCAGGACACAGCCTCACAGCAGGGAAGACTGGGCTGCCACCCCTACCTGGCACCCACTCTTGGCTGCATGTCATTGGAGAAGGCCTTGCTCAGAAGTAGGCAAGCACACCCAAGGGGGCTGCTCGGGAAAAGTTTTCTGATGGGCCCAGCACTGGGTACTGCCAAGACCTGAGCCTTCTGAATATGAGAAGCCCAGAATCCTGTCCAAAACAGACAAGGACAAGCCCTATCATCTCCCTTGGCATGTCCCAGACAGTTCCTCTGCCTGCCAGTTCCTGGGCAACACACAGAGAGCAAGGATGATACCCTGGCAATGCCTGGGACTC